TTTGGTACTGGAGTGGGAGGCTGCCAGCTATTTTGGCTACAGCCGTGTGGTGACCACAGAGAGAGGACCTAGAGTTACGGTAGTGCTGGGAAGAGCAGAGGCCCAGGGGCTCGTGGACAATCCGGAGGCTGGGGATGAAGCTCACACTGGGGCCGGATGCTGTGCCTGGCCCAGGGGACACAGCCATCTCATTGCAGCCAAGCAGGGCCCTCTCTTTCCCTGTTGCCAGGGATTGAGCTCAGAATAGCCATGTGCTGACCCGGTTTGGGCCACTGAGATAAGCCTCCCAGGAGCTTCTGGACAAGATGATGTTCACTGATCGAAGAGAAACATTTGAGAGAACCTCGTTGCCCCTTACTCTCTCTTTCTAGCTGTGGTGTCGTGGGTTACAGCTGGGCTTCTAACCATGAGGTCAGCAGGTCACAACCACCGGCAGCTACGTGGCAGAAAGATGAGTCTCCTACTCCCTTAAAGAGGGACACTCTCAGAAACCCACAGGGGCAATTCTCCCTTGTTCAGTTGGGTCTCTATCAGTTGAGATCAACCAGGGGGTAGTAAGTTTGGGTTAGGGGTTAAGCTGGTAACCCCAAGATCAGCAGTTCAAACCCATCAGCTGCACAGTGGGGGGAAGATGAGGCTCTCTGTTCCCATGAACATTTACAGTCGAATGAACCCATTCAGGGTACAGTCTGAGTTGGAATTGACCTCACAGCAGCGGGTAGGACGGTGGGTAGTGGTGACAGACACTGTCACATGAGGACAGGGTCCTTCTTTGGAGCTGCCCCAGCCATCTCTCAGGCACAGCCGCAGCCTCAGTGGACTTGTCAGAGATGGAGGGATGCCTGTGACAGTAGACCATAGACGTCTCTGTCACTTGGGCCATTGTTGGGCATGATGGCTGCAAGTGCTCCTAATAGTAAATTCTGGATAATAGGACTTAGTTCCTTATTTTAAAAAAGCACACAAACTAAGAACATCAATTCCTTTATTATTATTATTAACTGTTATCTGTCCCCTAAACAATGGCACAACTCAAGTAATAA